GTGTGTGTGTGTGTGTGTGTGTGTGTGTGTGTGTGACAGAGAGGGAGAGAGAGCACCCTTCAAGGATAGCTCTGTGTGACCTCCTGCCCCCGTGTTTGTCTCGACTCTGATTCTTCTACATTTCTAACATCGCCCCGCATAGTGACCAAGCTCTCAGCACATGTGCCTGGGAGAATAGTTAACACTGAAATCCTAACAGAAAGTAGTCAAGGGAGGCAGCTATTTCAGTTTTATTGAATGAAGCACTGTTTCTTTGTCACCTTTATTTCAAACTGCTTTTCATAACCATGACCCGATATTTGCCAATGGCACCAGCACAGGGAGAAAGATGTTCTTATTTTTCAGCATAGCGATGCGATGCTGAAGCCCAGCATAGACTTAAGATACAAATATTGAAAGAAAGGAATATCAGATCATCAACCTTGTACTCTTTCGGGACTCTTGTTTTAACTGACAATAGACAACAGAGACTGAATGTTTCATTGTAGACTCTTTAATATGCTTAAAGGTATCAAAGTGAATCTGCAGAGCTGGTTCACTGGCTGCAGTCAGCAAAGGACAGGCTGGCCTTTTGGACTCAGCAGTCTGTGACGGTCCCGCAAGAACTAGAAATGGTCCGGGATCATCTCAATGCTTTCCTGGTAAGTCTGAGAACCTAAGGCATTTGAACTCATTTTGTTTCTCAGACTGGGCACATGGCTTAGTATAAAGGAAGGCAGCTGTCAACAGACACGGAAAAGAAGCTAAATTGCCATAGACAATTCTGAGGTTGACTTGGTATGTCTAGTGCTTACACAAGGAGTGGACTTCAGGTTGCCTTCAGTTAGTGTTCAGGTGATGGGTTGGTTCTTCTGACAGTGAAGGTGGAGAGCCCTTGGCTGTCTGCAGAGAGCTCCCCACGGCAGAGGCCTCAATAGTAGGGAGTAACTGCTCTGTGCTCTAGACAGAGCTCTGTCCTTAAATGAAAAGTGCCAGCTCTTCTGTGCTAACCTGAACACTGTGACTTTTTTTTTTTAAGGAGTTCTCTAAAGAAGTAGATGCCAAGTCTTCCCTGAAGTCATCAGTCACCAGCACGGGAAATCAGCTCCTTCGATTAAAGAAAGTGGATACCGCTGCCCTGCGCGCTGAGCTGTCCCGAATGGACAGCCAGTGGACGGACCTGCTGACCAGCATTCCTGTGGTGCAGGAGAAGCTCCACCAGGTACCAAGACATGGCTCATGTGGTCGCAGGCAGCTAGATGATGTGGTCGCAGGCGGTCTCCACCACGTGAATGCAGATTAGAGTTAACCAGGAGCTTGTTTTCTCTCTCTGCTATTGCACTGTGAATGAAAACCAAACCATTCTGCGAATCTCACTTCAGACAGCATTTCCTCCCAAAGTACTCCCTTTCTCCTCTCTCTCTCTCTCTCTCTCTCTCTCTCTCTCTCTGTGTGTGTGTGTGTGTGTGTGTGTGTATGTGTTGGAAACTTGACTTTCAAACTTTGACCTTGTTTAAGTTGACATTTAATGTGAAAACTCATAAAATTGTGATGATAACATACCCAAAAGATCTGCCAATTTGCATTCAAGAAGGAAACTGGATTTTACTCAAAATGTAAGAACAGTCACACATCTTTCCTTTCAGCGCCATATAGAATTAGATAGTATGTATTTAATTTTATATGTTTTTGAAGACAAGACTTGTAGCTCCTGGTCGTCTTGAGTCTGTGATGATCCTCCTGCCTCAGCCTCTGGAAGGGCTGGATTATGGGCATTACGCACTGAATGCCAGGAAATGTAGTTTTATATATATTTAAATGGTTGCTTTTGTTTTTACAACTCATTATCATGATATACATACTTTCTTGACACAATGAAGTAAAATTCAGATTTCTCAGTATATCTTAAATTCTCAGGAAATTGGCTCTTAGGAATAAACATTTGAGTGCCAGAGAGGAGGGAAATGATAGCTTGCAGTGTAGTGTCATTCTTTTTTTCTTTTAGCATTCCTGAGTCACAACACACAGAGATTTTACAAGGTAATTAATAAAATACATCTGTTGAATGTTTTGTAGCTAAGGGTTTTTTTTAAACCCATAAAGCTAGCTATAAAGTAAGAATGTTTTCTTGCTGGTGTTTTGATTAATTAGTTGATATTTATGCAATGTTATGGTACTAGACTGAGTGGTAGGTGTCTGTTGTTACTGTATTTGCTTGATGGTCCAGGCTTCAGAGATCTGAAAAATATAAAGGGCTATTATTTCTCTTGGTATGCTGGTAGAATTCTGCCTAGGGTTCTTCCGTTAACACAGCCGTTTTCACTGTGGGCCAAGACTGCTTTGGGGCTAGTCAAACAACCTTTCACAGGGGTCTCTTAAGCCCATCAGAAAACACGTTACATTACAGTTCATAACAATAGCAAAATTACAATTATGAAGTAGGAACAAAAATAGTTCTACTGTATTAAAGGGTCACTGCATTAGGAAGGTTGAGGACCACTGTATTAACAGAAGTTGGGTCTGAATTTTAGTGTTTGGGATTCATTCTGTCTCTGCTTTCTCAGCTCCAGATGGACATGCTGCCCTCCCGCCATGCCATTTCTGAGATCATGAGTTGGATTTCACTCATGGAAAGTGTCATCCTGAAGGATGAAGAGGACATAAAAAATGCAATAGGTTACAAGGCAATCCACGAATACCTTCAGAAATATAAGGTATCTGACACTTTGAGATTTTTTACTTTTATGTATTTAGACTTTTATTTGAAGGAGCTCAGAAACTCAAACCAGGGCTTAGAATGTATATATCCAATAGCCAGTAAACCGATAGACACATTCAAAGATGTAGCATGTTAGTTATTTTTATCTTGTTGTGATAAAGTGGCCCACTACAGCAACTTAGGAAAGAAAGCGTTTTTTTTTTTTTGTTTTGTTTTGTTTTGTTTTGTTTTGTTTTGTTTTGTTTTGTTTTCCAGCTAACAGTTCCAGTGGGGAAACAGCTTGTAATGGAGGGAAAGGCCTGGGAACAGGAACACAAGGCTAGCCAATCATACTTCATCTGTTTACAGGAACCGGAGAGAGAGAGAGCAAGAAGTGGGGCCAGCTATACAGCTTCAAAGCACGCCCTTCCCCACCTCTGCCATGTACAAAGTCTAGGTCCTCCAGGGAGGCTCCATTTTGTTGTTTTGTTTTATTGAGAGAGAGTTTCTCTGTGTAGCCTTGGCAATCCTGTACTCACTTTGTAGACCAGGCTGGCTACCTCTGCCTCCCTTGGTGTTGGGATTAAGGATGTGCACCACCATGCCCAGCTAGGCTCTGCTTTCTTAAGGTTCCATAAGCTCCCCAGCATCCCAAACTAAGGACCAAGTGCACGTGGACCTATTGAGGTCATTACATGCTCAAACTATAACACCCTAAAAAATAATTAAATAACTCACCCATTTCTACATATCATGCATGTGTTATTTGTATTTTTGTAATTTTATACACATACGTGAATATATATTCGACACGTCCCTAACACAGCAGGTCATGTAAAGCAGCATAGATTGTGTCATTTGGATGGAGTCACAGGAGACTTTCCGACTCCTGGGAACACGCTAAGGCTTTTTCCGCCCGGAAGCCTGTTGTCCGACTCTCTTGCCTCTTTCTTAGGGTTTCAAGATAGACCTTAACTGCAAGCAGCTGACGGCGGACTTCGTGAACCAGTCGGTGCTGCAGATCAGCAGTCAGGATGTGGAGAGCAAGCGCAGCGATAAGACAGATTTTGCTGAGCAGCTTGGAGCGATGAATAAAAGTTGGCAGCTCTTGCAAGGCCGAGTGGGTGAGAAGGTGAGTTAGGTGGCCTATGCTCCTACACTGATGCAGACCATCAAGAGCAGGCGAATGGCTGGCAGAAACCATTTCACAAGCGGTGTGGCTAGGTGAAGCATGGGGCAGCTTCCCACAGCGCCCTGAAGGTGCTAGCTCTGGACATCTCTAGTCCCATTTGTTCTCTTATGAAGCCTTCCTTCTCTGCGTTTCATGCATCTAATTTATTTTAAGATGTCTCTTCATTTCTCTTACCTTTACTTTAGGTTGACTATAGTTCTCTCTTCTTTACCCACTGATTGATATTTGGTAAACTTCATTTTCTTAGTTTATGTATGTGATAGACTGTATTTTAAGAATTTTATTTTTTCACATTTTAATTTTACAATTCAGGGTTCTGTAAGGCCATTTTCATGCAAGTCTATGACGCCCTTTTAGCATAGTCCTTCCTATCCCCAGTGCTTCCCTAGTACTGTTACTTCATAAGTATTGTATTGGGGGGCTGGAGAGATGGCTCAGAGGTTAAGAGCACTGGCTGCTTTTCCAAAGGTCCTGAGTTCAATTCCAGCAACAACATGGTGGCTCATAACCATCTATAGTGAGATCTGGTGCCTTCTTCTGGCTTGAAGGTGTACATGCAGGCAGAACCCTATAAATAATGAATGAATAAATCTTAAAAAAAAAAAGAACAGAAAAGAAAAAAAGAAATTGTATTGGGTAATTTTTATTCCAATGATGTGGCTCTAAAACTAAACGTTTGAATTTTACGTCCTCCGGTCTGTGTAGATCCAGCTGTTGGAAGGCCTGTTGGAGTCTTGGTCAGACTATGAAAATAGTGTACAGTCTCTGAAAGCTTGGTTTGAAAGCCAGGAGAAGAAGTTGAAAGAGCAGCATCAAATTGGCGATCAGACTGCTGTTCAGAACACCCTGAAGGACTGTCAGGTAATGTGTCCAGGTGGTGCGAGGGGCCTGCCTCACGCCTTCAGGCCTGCGCTAAGGGGATGGCTGCTTCAAGGGTTATGAGCCAACTCTTTTCTAAAATAACTGCATCTGTAGGTACACGTCTTCTATTACACAAGCTGATCAGGTTTTTCTTTTCTATTGATATTTGTTGGATTTTGCAGAGTCATTTTAAACCTGGAATCCTCCAGCCTCAGTCTTATTAGTACCAGGACTACGTACTATCATGCCTTCTTTTATTTATTTATTTTCTCACTGAACTCTATTGGTCTTCATCGTCCATTTCTAAAGTTTTGAGCTTATAGAAAACTATTATCAAATACACACATAAGTAGGTAGAGATGCTTGAGTCCCATACCCTGACAATCAGACCTAACATTTACCAGTATTTTAGATAAATCTTACTACATTTTTTTGTCATGCAAATGTGAGGATGCAGTTGGGTTTCCCAGGACCCACATGAACTCAAGTGGGTATGATAGCCACCTGTAGTCCTAACACTCAAGAGATGGAACCAGAGGGTCTCCAGAGCAGGTGGCTTAGCTAGAGTGCTTAAGTCAGTGATCTGGAGGCAAGTAATGAACCTGCCTCAATATGTAAAGATGGAGAAAAATCAAGTACCACACTGGGTATCCACTCCTAGCTTTCATTGCACGCGCAGGCACTGCTGCCTTGCAACCTCACAGACATGCACACAGACATGCAAATTCATCCTAAACCAGCATGTACACAGAAGACGTCAGTGAACATCATTTTACTCGTATGTACTATTCACATAATTTCCGGGAGATGATAGTTTATGTCACCATAATATATCTCAGAAGTTAGCAGTTCCTTCATGTTGTCTTTATGCTCAATGCATGATTGTACTCTCTCAATTTTCTTTTTATTTATATATGTTTTAGACAAGGACTCACTATATAGTCCCAAACTAGCCTGGAACTAGCTATGTAGACCAGGCTGTCCTTGAACTTATAGATCTGCCCAAATTTCCCTTAGTTATCTTTAAAATGCATCTTTATTCATTACGGTTGCAGTGTCTGCCAGATGCATGTGTTTGTAAGAGTTCTTTAGTGTCATAACGATATTTTGATGCTGTCAACTAGTGAAACTGTGCCTTGGCCTGGCCACTTCCTTAAAATGTCCCTTAACCTGCTCTTACCACAGAATCTTAGTTTGAAGCCTGCTCTATACAAGGGTAAGCATTTCCTAGGTGACACTGTTCCTTAATGCTGTGTGACAACAGAAAGCTCATGCAGGCTGCTCATCCCA